GCGGTTTTCCCACACGAACTTTTCAGACAAGATCTGTGGTATATTCTCACTGAATCATATTTTAAATCAGGAGGAGAACTTTCCAAAGTGAAGATGGGACAGAAGGCATCAGGTGAATAAGAAACATTCCTTAGCGGTGTTTCTGATTCCATATTACAAAGAAACTTTATCTTCACATGTTCAGTTCTTGTGTAGCATCAAAGAATATTTACAGTTATTTGAAAAGACTTATATACAACATTCCTTTTTAACTACCTAGTTGCAAGAATCAGATTGCTTTCAGATACCTCATTCAAAATAATGAAATTGGGCTGGGGAGAGATAGCTCAGCGATCTAAGCGCCTGCCTAGAAAGTGCAAGGACCCAGGCTCCATCTCCAGTACCTCATGCTGCGGTGCCTCTGGAACCCTGGGCGCGCTGTGCCTGCCCCGAAACTGGGCGTGGTGTGCATGCCTGTAATCCTAGCACTTGGGAGGCTGAGACAGGATGATCGCTATGAGGCTGAGTAGTGTAGGGAGATCCTGCACCAAATAAATAAATAAATAAATATATTAAAAATAATGCAACTGATTTAATGCGTAAGTATGAAAATCAACTTTCACTTATAAAGGAAGCTGTGAAAGAGCTTTTCTAAAAAAATGTTTGCTCATTTTAATGAGGAAAAAAGGAATGAAACAGTTTCAAAACAGGTCAGGACAGTTACAATAATACATTGCATATTGTTGTCTTCGTAGTATTCAGAGGACAAGATGCAGATGTGATGTCTTGTCTAGACAATATTAGTACAATCCTTTCTTCTCATTGAACTAATAAAACATAGCTGCATATCTATCCTATTTTATATGTACATTTTTTTTTTCACTACAAAATGGTCCTTCCCCCTTTTTTATCAGAGATGGATGTTCCACTGCTGTTAGAGAAGCTGTATTTGGAGAAGTCTTTAAAGGACCTTTTCATACTTGATGCCAGTTCAAATACTGTAGGAACTTGAATTCAACAAAATAACCCAATATAGTCCAGTAGTCCATAATTGTAGTGGGTTATCCATAGGACTGGCAATGTCAGAAGTTGTTGACTTGAGCCTTTGACAGCTCGGTATATTAGTATGGCATTTCTTTTCATACCTTGTGGTTATATTTTTCTGCTGGTTAAGACCAAGAAAAAGCTTTGTAGAAACATAGCGTCACGATCTCTAAATAAGTATTTGTGTTAATATGTAATCAGTTTGCTTCAAAGAACCACAAATAAGCATTTAAAGTTTCTACTTTCATTTCTAGTAAACACTGGTAAGTTACATGAAAGATCCTTTGTGGGCCACAGTCATTTCCGACATGAGTCCTAAAACCAGAAAGTCTGAGAATTTTTTCACCACTAAGAAAGCATTACTATAAAGCTGCTCAGAATGAGAAAACTACAGCAAAAGCAAGGGTCAAGACTTTATAATCCCTCAGGCTGGTCTGAAGGCCATGGCTTGCTGTGAGTTACCAAATGCAGAATTATTTTTTTTTAACTTTTATTTATTTATGTGTGTGTGTGTGTGTGTGTGTGTGTGTGGCCAGCTCAGCCCACCAGGGGGCGGGGCTGGCTGGCATGTGGTGCTGGGGGATTGAACCACGGTCCCTGTGCTTTGCCAAGCTTGTTCTAAGTAGGTGCTTTAGACCACTGAGCAATCTCACCAGCCCAGAATTAGTAGTTTTTAATGTTAACCAAATAATTTCATCTGTTAACCCAAACATCAAATTTATTTTAATAGAAAATCAGTTTTTAAAATTAAGAACTATCAATGTTAGAGCCTACAGATGGTTTTTTCAGAAGTGATTTTTATCAACTAATGTACACTCCCCCTTTGTGACTTTTTGCACTTCGGGTTGATTTTAATAAGAGATAAGGGGAGGAAAAATGTCCAACATTTAAAAAAAATTATTTAAAAATAAGATTTCTAAAAATACAGTACATAATATATTTCAAGAAAAATAAAAATTCACATTACTTGAAGCTTAAGAAATATGTAAACAAAAAGCCATGACAGTCTTAGAAAATTTCATAAAGGCAAAGGCCTTAAGTAATGCAATATTCTTTTATTTTTCTGTAATTAGGACAGGGTCTACAGTGTCTCACTACATAGATTGGACTTGTAGTGATTCTGTTTTCAGCCTCCCAAGTGCTAGGATTATAGGCGCGTGACACCATGCCCAGTCTCAATCAGCTCGATGCGCCCCATGGGCAGGGCCAGCACGGCACACCAGGGATCGAACCCTGGCCACTGTGCTCTGCTGAAGCAGGCACTTCAGTCCGCTGACCTATCAGGTCGGCCTTAGTAATGCAATATTCTTATATTTAAAAGTACCTGGATATAAATTTTATATTTATTGCATGTAAATTATTCCCTAAAGAAAAACACCTCTGTAAGCATCCAGCAAATAGATATCAAATAAATTGGGCAACTGAGTCTATTTGAGGTAGAACAAATAAAAAGACAGGCAGGAGACAAGGAAGTCATAACTACAAATCACAACTACTTTTAAGAAGGCTGACAGGGCCAGGGAGATGGCTCAGTGGAATAAGCACTTTCCTGGCAAGCGCAAGGGCCTGAGTTCAATCCCCGGTTCTGCAAAAAAAAAAAAAAAAAAAAAAAAAAGTATAAGAAGGCTGCAGCTTCTAGAACACTCTCGAAGTCACCAAAGGTGATGGCTGCCAACCTTTTAAATTGAGGCTCCTTCCCTTCCACATACATCACACCCAAAATCCTTAGGAATACGGAAGGCCCATAAGTTAGCCTAAGAAAGTTCAGAGTAGGACTCCAAGATAACTAGGTTGAGAGACTCCTGGCACTTAAATCCCCAGCCATGCGCTCCCCGGCCCCACCTCGCGCCCCCAAACCTGGGCTCCCAGCTGTGGAATGGTCCAGGACGCCCCCGGGAGGGCTGGGCCGCCTTCTCCCAGCGTTTTCACCTGCAGGAGCAGCACAGCTGTCCCCGATCCAGGAGGTACTGCATCTCATTCCTCTGATCACCTGCACTCCACCGAGCACAGACTCCCATTTCCACCTCACAAACCCTTCCCGTGTCTCTCCCCGAAATGTTTTTTCTGTGACAGGAGCCGGTCAACTTGCAGGTACTCTGTTTAGGTGGGTTAGGTTCCTTCGCTCAGCTTTGGGGACCTCCTCAGACTCGTAGAGCGACACATCCACGTGGCTTATCTCCAAGACAAATATTCCTAAGTAGGAATACTGCTTTTGTCAATTTCAACCTTTGTATGCAACACCAAGTTTCTGGTGAATACTTAGTGAATTTTCTATTATGGCAGAACAATGTCTTAAGGTCACTAACTTATGAACACTCAGCAAAACTGTATAAAACTTAAAAAACATCACATTGGTAATGCTGAAATCTAGACTTTGGGTTGATTTTAATAAGAGATAATGCAAGGAAAAAAGAGTCCAATGTTTTTAAAAAATATTTATTTAAAAATAAGATTTCTAAAAATACAGTACATAATACATTTCAAGAGAAGTAAAAATTCACAATTTAAATTAAAAACAATCCATAAAGAAAACAGAATATTACATGAATAAACCAAATCACTAAAATAAATTAAAAACAACATTGTTAAAATATAGTTTTTCATTTTAAGAACCAGTGTAGATTATACATTTAAACAAGTACATCTTAGATATGATTCTCATTTTTACCCACTTTCCTCCCTTTTCTCAATATATTCTTAAATATCTCAACTACTATTTTTCTTATTATGATTAGCATTAGAAATATAAGTGAAAATTTTCTTTAAATGCTCTTATGGTAACAGACAAGGCAAAATAGTAAACAACGCAGAAAACCAGCACTCAGATTTATGTCTTATGCACTGAATAAAAAAAAAATTCCCTGACAAACTTAGAAATAGGATCTCTAAAACATATTTTAAAAAGTCAAATAAAAAAAAAAAAAGAGGATTTATTGGACCGAATTTGTGGTTAACAGGAACCTCAAAATAAACACACATTTTGTTTATTTACTAAATTTAACAGTCAGATTAAACAACCAAACAAAATACAAATTCCAAACATGAAAAATGATCACACTGCATGACCACGTATGCACATCCTCCCCATTCCTGTCACCACACCCTCATGCCAGACTTGCCACTCACTTCAGTCTCTCTGACTGCACTGGAAATATTCCTGTTATACCTTTAGATGGTTTTTATACCTATGCTGAAGTTTCTTTAAAAAAAATTAATATTCTCTGTAGGAAACAGTGGTTAGTGAATTCTCTATTACTCATAACTTGAAAAATGACCACATTCAGCTACAACAAGTTAAAGCATGCTTACCCAAGTTAAAGTACTCAGAACCAACATAATGGCAGCACAATTGAGGAGATTCTGTTGCAGATTATCAGATACAAAATGTTGCTCCATCCCACTCTGCTTTCAAACAAAAGTTTTGCTTCCACCTATAACATATTTATTTGGACTTTGCTTTTTTTGGGGAGAACCAGGGATTGAACTCAGACCCTTATGCTTGCCAGGGAAGCACTTATTCTACTGAGCCAGCTCCCTTTGTTTGGATTCTTGCCTATCTTTCTCAAGTCATGTTTCACATAAATCTCAGGCTTCTTTTTTTCCATTTGGAATTCATTGCAAAACCATATACTGCATTGTATCTGCATCAAGGAAGAATTGATTTTAGATGATCAAAAATAATGTAAACATTTAAAAATGATTGTCTTTTTGTGAATATGTATACATTGCTACCATCTTGCTTGAATGATTAACCATTTCGATTTCAGTTTTAAGGGCACTAAATGATAGTATTTTTAAAATTCAGAAGAGAGAAACAGGGAACCAGTATAGAATGCATAGCAGTTTTTTACATGTGGACAATTACATTTGAGTGTTTTTCTCCACTTTTAGAAAATGAATCACTAAATTAGTTTTCAAAACCATCTTACTCTGAATTTCCATATGAGGTGAATAAAAATATCCAGACTTTTTTTTTGGTCAAGTTCAATTTTCTATTCGTAGTTTCGTTTAAATGAAGGTGCATTTACATTTTCTGCTGGGAACATTTTTTAAAGTGTTATTTTTATTGGCAAAGTGAACAAAGTAGCAATATCACTCTTTAATGCCACTAGGGATAATACAAATAGATGTTAAATACTTTATTTTTAATAAAAATGGACCCATTCTTCACCTCTCATGTAGGATTTTTAGTATTCATGAAAGTACCCAATAAGCTGTATCATTTTTTTACAGAAAATTACTTTTTATTCACTGTTGCATAAATAAGGGCAAAAAACAACTTATGGAAATTGCTTCAGTTATCTTTAGTCGCTACCACCTATTAAACTACCTTTTAAAGTCACCAAGCAGCATTAAAATATAAAATTAAAAGCCTTACAAATCTGCCTAACTGTAGGCTGGGTGCAGTGGTTCCTAAACGCGACACTTAAATTAAACTGAAGCAGCAGTTGCAAAGAGAAGAGCTGGTAAAAAAATTCTTCTTAATACCATTCATTTATGCTTTATAAACACGAAGATGTGAGACAGAAAACTTTTAGTCTACCAAGAAGAAAATCAACTCTTTGGTACAGGAATTAAAATGTCACTCAATGCTACCACAGATAATAGCACCAGGATGTTTCAGTGGCTGGCGCTGTAAAGCATAACTTCAGGCACCAGTAGGTTAGGGTATCACTAATGCACACTGGCAAGAACACAGGGTGTGCAGCACATAGGTAGACAAGCGCTCCCTTTATTTTGCAGTCTACAAACCAACTCTGTACTAAGTCAAACAGATGAGCAAAGCCACAGAAAGAAACACACCTTTTTCACTGTTTTGTCCATATCTTGGTTTATGTATTATAAAGCTATCGATATCAAAAGGAACAAAGTGCCGAAAAAACATGGTAAGCACTACACTACACTACATGCTACAGGGAACCCAAAATACTAGCAAGAAGACCCTTTAAGTATCAACTCCAAAAGATCCCAAATGTTAAAGTGGAGATGACCTTTGACATTTAAGTTGTGGATTGTTTCTTCTGACCACAAACTTTTCTGTAACAATTAGGATCATGTCTTTGCCACAGAGACCTGCAGAAAAGGTCTCAGTTCCTTCAAACTTCGAGCAATCTACTCATTTCTCTTCTGTATTAGACAGCAGCACTTTCCATACTTTTAATACTGCACACTAACATACACTGCACAATTACTTATTTAAAATTTAAAAACAACTTCTCAAGGTACTGGACCAGTTAAATAGAAAGAGCAATGTAAACTCTTTAGATTAATTAATACAACTAAATGCTTACATGTGTAACAACTCTTAGGAGTAAAATGGCATCAGTAAGACACCAGGCTAAAATGATGACAGCACGGAGACTCTCTGAGGTGACAGAAACACTCTCCAACCGCAGCGCGGAAACCCACCCTCATCCAGCCCTTTCTCCAGCTCAGTAAGCTGCCCTATTCCCTTTATACAGTTTTCTGGCTACTTCCTACTCATTGGTACCTATCCTATGTGGTAACAAGGGGTAAAGGATATGACAGAGTAAAACTTATGATAATGAAAAAGGCCAGTAAAATCAGTGACTTAAGAATTTTAAAATGTGATCTGTTTCATTCAAATTAGTAGCATGCAATACTGCAACATCTCAATAAAAGACAAAAATGTAATGAATTTTGTTGTTAAAAAATGCAAATGATAATGAAAGAAGTCAGAGAAGTCATTCTCCTGAAGTTAAGCCATCATCCCCACAATAGCAGAATGTTAAATCTTGGTAAGAGTAAGTAATGGTACTTGTTCAAAATACTTCAAACAAGTTAATTTCTCTACTTTCACAATTCTACTGTATAATACTTCAAAATTCAAATAAGAATAGCTAAATATAGAGCATTCTGAAATTTTTGATTTATAGATAAACTCAGAAGATAATTTCTAATACAGAAGGCAAAAAATGTGGACATTAAATATGTTCATTCCTTAATTACATGGTTAATAATACTACCAAGTAGAACGTACTAAATACATGACTTACTAACTATATTTGTTAATACTTATATTTATAAAAGCAATAGTAGAACTAGATGAAAATTTAATACTTACACTTATCAGTAAACTACTTTATGTTTGTAAGTGTAAACTTCACTAAATAAATTCTAGATATAATCTATGTATATCATTAAAGGTCACATAAAAAACTTAATGAAGTAACTATAGTAAACTTGAGCTACTATTTAGTCTAATGACACATGAAGCCTAAGAGAAGTAGCAAGAGACTAGAAAAAGCCCAAACAGAAACTATCATCTCTGTTAATGAATATTAATGTCATATTAAGCCACAACTAGACACATTGTGATTTTACAGCAATACACATGAGAACTCAAAATGTCCCAAAACACACAGGAAATTGTGTGACCATAATCTAAATTAGCAGACACTTCCTGTTCATGAGTGTTTCCTAATTCTTTTTGATTCTTATTCAGAATTAATATACCTTTTGAACAAAATGTCTCCTCAACTAGTTACTTGTGTGGAGGGGACTTGGAAGTCAAAGAAAGAACAGGTAGAATTAGCTACCATCCTTAGGAAAAAAAAAAAAAAGACTTCTATACATTAGTAAAAATATACTAATTCTAACAAGTTTTAGCTCAGTTGTTATGATGCTTTTGAGTACAATGACATTCTCCTACGTTCTTCTACACAGCTACATTCAAGGCCATTAAAAGTAATATGTTTTCTTCTGAGAAAGAGGTTAGTATGTTAGCCTCAATTTTAAGTGGCTATCTGTGGGTCAACCACAAATATTTTAATTACAACTTTTAAGCAAAATAATACAGTATTTTCATATAATGAAATATTAGGTCAGTATTTTTAAACTTTAAATCCAGGTTACAAAGTACAGAGAACCCTTCAATTGAATGCCCACTGCTTGGGGGGATTCTCAATCCACTCTATCTTGACAATATTCGGCCTATACTGAACCCCCAAACATTTCTCTCTAGAAAGCAAGAGATATGACTGTTTAACAGATGTAACTGTATCCTGGTAAAAAACAATTTCATCTCCAAAAGTCAATAAATCACTTTGCTCATGTAAAAACACCTTTTAAACATCTTGCAAAAATTAAATAGAATGTTTATAAAGATATCCAGTGGCCAGCATCAGACTATATCCATAACCTGGCTGCTCATATTTATTTTCTCATGTTGACACCGGTGCTTTCTGCGCAGATACAAGGGACACGTGTCACACTGGCTACTGAGGGTATGTGGGTAACTCTGGGGAGGTGCACATAGGAAGACTATTAATCTCTTATTCATTGATTTAAGATAGTAAAGCCAGTAAAAAAAGAATTCCAAAATCGAGACAGAAAAAACTAAATGCATTTTTATATACTCAGTGAATCACACTACATATATAGTTGCCATATAACTAACAAATTTTTGTGTCCTGTAATAAACTACAAATTTTAGAGAGCCTATCTAAGGAATTAGTTTGCCAAAATAAGGTTTAACATAAAATACAAGATGCCTAGTTTATCCTGATCTGATACGAAATTGTATTGCTAGGAAGAATGTACATAAATGAAGCAGTCAACACATTCCTATAGGTTAGAGATAACATCATAGGTAGTAACATTCATTTAATAAAATTCTGAATTTTTATACATATACTTTTCTGAAATATGTACCTCTGACATGTTCAAAATCTGTGTAAAATTTACTTTGGGGGCTGGGAGCTTCTAGAGCCAATACCATTACATCAATTAGCCAACAGAGGGCGCAGAAAGAACGCCAGAGTCTGCAATCCCCAGGAACTGCCAATTGGCTTCTCCCTAGCAGTCCAACAAGAATTATAAATCCCACAGTAGGATGAAGGGTGCTAACTTGAGAACAATGCAAGTTACAGCATATGTCTGTCTAAATGTACATCAATACAGATTTTTATGTAAATATAGTGGTAAGTAGCATTTTCACTACTCACAATAAATTAGCACATGCTTATCTAGCACAACAGTCTACAGCTCCATACTTAGAGGAACAGGATACAGAGGGAACAGGACCAGGGAACATAAGGAGACATGTCCCAGAAGGGGTAAATCTAAGAACACCAAAAGCACAAACCCTGAGGATAGGAAAGAGACCTCCCCTGCTGCTGCACCATAGCACTGCCACCACAAGAGCATGTTCATCAAGTCCTCAGGGCTTCCCCTGGTTCAGCTGTCTTCTCCAGGTTCTCATACAAAGGGAATGTGTGCAACATAAGGCATTCAACTGACACCTACCCATATTATACACAATTTAGTTCCTTGTGCTAGTTCTGCTGCCACCAAATTTGGCTAATTAGCTTTCACAAGATCCAATCAATGTGTCTAATTTTATGATTCATTAATCTTTATATGTTTATATTAAATTTACTATATACATTTTATCAGCACCAATAAATACTTTCATCTGCTACGTCTAACTTTTTAAGCCATAACACGTAATTAAAACATGAAAAACATGATATTAATATCTCTAAAAGAGCTTATTCTATTATTTCAGAATATTTTAGGAGGTATTTACAATTTCTGAAAGAATCAGCCATAGTATAGCCAACTGGCTAACAATGGTAGCCTTCTGTTTCACTGTATCCCACGTATGATCTCTTACTTTCAAAATTGAAAGTATTAATATGGTCTTAGAACAGCAGACTCTTCTAGTCTTCTCTTAAGGGAAAAGTGTAAGTACACAATGTTTTAAAAAACATGGATTTTGCAGTATTCTAATGGAAAAACTAAAAGCTACATTTTTTTTTCACAGCATATTAAATATTTGTTCTCACAAATGTTCTTTGCTTTCCAAGAGATCATTAGTATTGGCAATTTAAATTTGTATAAGGCTAATAATATAGATCATTATTATTTCATTACTGCACAATCATTTCCTAACATTACTTACTAATAGAAGGTCTGTAGAGCAACACAACTTGTACTTGGCCAGTGGAAATTTAACTTTAATTTAGGTGATTACCAGTACATAAAACCTAGTCACCCTTACTAATAACTTGCTAATTGTGAGCTACTTACTAGTTACTAGCAAATAAAATTTCAATATGAGTTGCCTGATACCAATCTATCTAAATCTTCAATGTGTAATTTTACGCCTTCTAGTAGATAAATACAAGTAAAAAGTATGTATTTATTTAAAAGCACAACAGTCCTCCTCTTTGTACTGTACATTATATATTATCTAATTATATAGTACTTTAAAAATGTACCCATTCTAACATATTACACTAGAAAAAGTAAATGAAATTACTGTAGATTTTCTACCATTTTTGTTCATTAAGTTCTTAAGGTAAAATAGGAAAATATGACCACTGGTCACAACCTTCTGGCAGCAAATATTCTACTAGCAATCAATAATTACAACAACAAAAGGAAAAATTAATGTTGAAAGAATTAATCTTTTCTTCATAATAAGACAGGTAGTTGGTACTTTCCTTCAGCAATTTTCTTTTTTTTAATTTTCGTTTTGGTGAAGAGAGAAAACATTAGAAAGCTGCTCCTAAGAAAACACTGCCCTTTGTTATTATTCATTCTTAAGCTGCATTTAAAAAAATCTTGCAGCACATATAAAAAAGTATTAAGCATTTTAATTTGTATTTGAAACAAAATTACACATAAGAAGGTATATCAAGTTTTATAAAACCTGCAGAATTAAACTCAGATTTGGTTAGTACTGCTTAAAAGTGAAAATTTAAATAAACATCTGAAAATCTCCACAGATTAAAATCTGTAACAGTCAGTACTAAAAGAAATTTATGTACAATTATTTCTTCCAATCATTGCCTTTGAGTTTAACAACAAAAGCATTTAAAGAAATCCCTGTGGAAAGCTAATTTGAAGGTAAACATGCTTTAAAACTTAAATCTAGATCTTGGGTTAGTCCCACAACAGGATCAAGATCACTATTAAAATGAAGCCTGGGGCACGTTATGATGCCTAGATTGGTGGGTGCATTTTAATTGACTTGAAGACTGTCATAGTTCTATTATCAGAAACCTGTAACGCATTTCCAGCATGGAGGACCCATCTGTGCCCGCCACCCATCTGTTTAGACATGATTGGCAAAGTGGTAGGGAACTCGCAGTGGCTGCCTCTGCCTGAAAGGAATGAACCACAGGATCTTCCAACGAGTGCCAAAAACTTCTGAGAAGGTCTGCTGCCACGGCTTTCGGGGCCTCGATCTGCAGAAGACAGCACTATTAGTGAAAGACAGCACTCCCACGGTGTACTTCAGTCAGCTAAAACAATACAGGTCGCTGGGGATCCATTACTGCACTCTGATGAACTGTGTCCCAGCATCACAAACACAGCTCTGCTTTCATTGTGGCATGCAGCTGAGTTTTAACTCTGGATAGCCGATATTGTATCTGCATCGTCAATCAACCTAGGGCAACTCGTGAAGCAGAGGAGAATCTCAGGATTAACAGAATGCGGGTGAACAAACAGAAGCAACCTCTTCTGATGCACTTTCAGAACAAATAATTCAGCTTACTTTAGTCAGACAAGGAACAAAAACTGATCTGTACTTATTTTGTTTAAAAGCTATCCTGGATAGAAGAACTACTGTAGCATGGGTATTCCTGTCTGTCTGGCGCCTCAGAAGAGGCACCAAGGAAACATCAACATCATATTATCCTTCCACTACACGCATGCAGCTCTCAAATGCAGCTGGTTGTTTCAAGTAAGAAAGAACATCGCAAATTCACTTTTATACTTACATTTCCTCGCAGCAGTTTGACATCTTTTCAATAGATGTTGTATCCTATTAAACACAAAGAACACTCAGGACAAATTCATCAAGTCTTCATATTTATTTTAAAATGTTTTTAATCCCCTTGAGAGACTATTCTAAAGATCTAAAAAGGTTATATATGAGAATAGATTTAAGTTCTTCACATACATCACTGGAGTTCCCTTGGAAAAGCAAAATCAACATTACATTATCGCAAAAAAAATTTCAGCACAAAACCTCACAAAAATTGTGGGCTTATGATTTCATTAAAAATAAAATCTTTCATTACACTTGCTTTTTGGTAATTCTTTTTAAAACCTACTATTTATTTTCAGCTCAACTATCAGTGAATAAAACCTAAAAAACAAATCCCAAAATGACACATGAAAGACACCAATGAACAATAAATCACCACGAGTCAAAAGAGTGCTACTGGTTCTGGATTTCTGTAAACAATAAAACTCAACAAGGCAGTCAATGAACTGGCCATATTTAGCATCTGTCCCTCTGAACACTAAAGTGAGCTCATTAGTATTCTTTAGTAAAAACAACATTTTAACAGAAAAATCACTCTTCATAGTAATACAGTATCATCATGTTTTTGCTGAGGCTCTAATGCAAATATATGCAAACACTCAGCAAACAAAGATCACTTCTAGAAAATGCTACTTTAAACTATTAACAAAAGACCTATTATTAGATTGACAAACTGTTATATTCAAATATCCAAATAAACATTAAATCACAATCCTTATTTTTGAATAAAAACGTGTATTCTAAACATACATCATGAAATAACAACTGTTTTTTCAATATACAAAACATCAGGCACTGTGCTAGCTTTTCTGTCCCTGGGCCACTATAATGAACTAAAGGAGAGTTTCATTCTGACTGGTGATTGCAAGGACTTAATCTATGGTTGGCTGATTGCAAGGCAGAAATATGGCAAAAATGCCCTGGAAGCACACTGCTCAGTTCATGGGGTCAGAAAGCAGAGCAGGGGACAGTGCCAGCGGGATGTGCAGGGATCATAGAGTCCCCGAGGCCATACTCTCACATCCCACCTATATATCCCAGGAGTATGCTAATCTACTACACATGACTTAATCCAATGAAGTTGGAAAATCAGGAAAAAGGGTAACATTCCACACCTTATCAACTTCACACCCAAAAACATGTCCTAAAGTCCATATGCAAACCTTTTCTGAGACTCAAAGCAAACTCTTGGTTAAAAATCAAGTCTTAGTAAAAAATCAAAACCAAGTTACATAATCTCAAAGTACAATCCCATTCCAAAAGGAAGGAACAGTGGGATAGGAAAGAATCAGACTGAAAACAGCAGGGCAAACACTAAATCCCACAGCTCTGTATCTGGCATCTGGGGCATATGGTAAAAGATGACTTCCAGTGGGCGTGGGCTAGCCCACCCCTCAGATCTTGGCTGTTGCAGCCCACAGGGCCGCTACTTGGGAGGCCCCACTCATGCATGGTCTACGGCTTTCCTCAAAAGATACTCCATCTTCCTAGCCTTTCCACTTTCTGGGGGGGCGGGTCTCCTCTGCGCCTTTGGTATCATTCCCACAGCTTCATACAGAGCCATCTCAGGGCTACCCTGACGGTCTTCCAGGCCTTGCTCTGAAATCTGGGTAGAAGCCTCCCTGGCACCAAAACTGGCATTCTACATGACTATAAGAACAGCATCATGTGGACAATGCCAAAGCCAAGCCCTTTGAACCGTGGCTTTTGCAGCCTTTTAGGGCTTGGACGGCTGAGTATAGTAAAATAAATTCCGGGGAAACTAATTCTCTAGGAAAAAATTTTCAAGCAGGGGTCACAGGGACACTCTTCTCACATGAAATGGTTATACTTCTGCACCCTGGAGGCTGCAATAGGTGGCATTGCAATAGGTGGCATTGCTGTTCCTGAGATGCTCTCAAAACATCTTTCTTGTCTCTGTACAAAGTGCTTGATTTCTTTTTAATTGTGCAAATCTTGTTAATAGCCACATTTCCTTTGACCAAACTTTATGGTTCCTTCTAGGACAAAATTTAAATTCTGCAAATTTTTCTCCTCCATCTTTCACCTCTAATTCTCACTATAAATCTAGACGAAAGTACCCAGCAGTATCCATACCACAACCTGAACGTTAGGCTGCTTTCAAATTTCATCCACCCGATCAATTAATCTACTGCTCTTCATCTCAGTTTCACTCAAAGTGTCTCAGAACATGGGCAAAATATAGACAAATTTTCCAACACAGTGTACGTCCTCTGGTCTAACTACCAACAAAGTCACTGCTCACAAATGAAAGCTGCTGCATCCTTATCTACATGCTAGTCTCACGAGCTCTGACCAGAATCACCCATCAGCGTCTGTTCATAATGCTCTAGGCTTCTCCAGCCCGCATCTCTAAACTTTTCCACACACCTCCCTCAAGCCTGTCTAAATGGTTTCAAAGCCATATGGCTCCAAGGCAGAAATGTCACCACAGAAGTATGTGGCTAAGCAAAGGAGCTGGGAATCAAAGTGGCAAAACTGTGACAGAGCAGAGCAAGCTGAAGACTACATACAGTAATTCCTCCATTCATGGACACATTTGTTAGCGAACAATTCAATTTTCAAACAAAACTATTTGACAAAATTTTTCTAACCTTCACAACCTCCACATCAAATGACAAAAACAATCATGGCCATCTTTCCCACATAAATACAAACATGACCATCTTCCCCTAAAGTACAAATAAATGAAGGTCATGAACCAAGGTTCCCCTGTATAGGACTCAAGGTCACACCTCCACGACCTACTCAGACATACCTACAAGCAAGCTTTACTAACCTAAGTGTTTCTTAATTCAATGAAGTTAACAAATTAGGATTTTAGTGGTCACAGATACATTTTCATTCCTTTACCTTACTGCCTTGCTCATCCTATGGACAAAGGTGGATATTACCATTGCCAAAGAGCATTAGTCACACAAATGCAACTCAAATCCCAAGAACTTTTGTGGCTGTAGGATTTTTTTCCAATGATGCTAATACTTTTAAGTCCTTAAGAGATATAAGAAGAGTAGTTCATTATATTAAATTCTCATGTATGAACAGTTAGATACAAAGAGCAAAACAGATGTTTTCTGGGTGGCTAGTAATGAACCACAGTATTTCCTTTACAAATTTTCCAGGGATTTATAAATAAATTATGGTATGTACATATATACATATGCATGCTCATACACACATAATGTCTCCCTATCATGTTTTGAAGTTTAAGGTATCCAGTGATATTCTATTCATAACTAACCTTTCTCAGGTCTGCTGTATAATTTCTTCAAAATGGTTTTCTAAAAAATGAAAACAGTTCACAGACACATGAGAGCATCAATTAGGGACCTGGAGGAAGCTTGGGCTTCAGGCTCCACATCTGGAAGGGAGGTAATGAAGCTGCTTTAATAGGTTCTTAAAGTCTGATGGTGACAGGCTATTCCAAAGCAATTAAGAGAGCTTGTACAAAGTAAGAAGGAAAAGATGGGACAGACGTCAAGGAGGACTATGAGGGAAGGAAGGGGTATGAGTGGCCTAAAATCACAGCTGTGGATAATACTTACTTTATTTTATATTTATTTATTTATTTTGGTACCAAGGATCGAACTCAGAACCTTGAGCTTGCCAGGCAGACCCTCAGGCCGCTGAGCTATCTCCCCGCCCTTTTGGACAATACTTAGAGCCTGGAAACTACTTCAAGAAAAGGAGCTCACCAGAAAAGTCAGATTAGCATCATCAGCTGATACTACTGCGAACTGTTACTATGCATAAGCTTACAACTTAACTAAAACCTCAAGGAACTTATTTTCAGCATTTAAAAAAACTTTAAAAACTTCAGATTTAGATTTTACATAGAAAAAGCTTATATTTTCAAGCTTTTTGGACACCTTTTTAGAATCTATTTTAGGAAATAACTAAAATGATCCCTTTTAAATCATCATGAGCAAATGGCTCTTCTGACAACAGGTATGATGTTTACCATCACTTTATTAACAGGATCTGTGAGGCTGGCCAAAACAGGCTATTTTTTTTGTCTAGAAATGGCAAATAAACCTTCATCCCTCTAAAATCCTGCCATCCAGAACACTGTTACAAGAGAAAAGCACGACTTGAATCGGAGCAACGTGCCATCCGGCGTTTGTGCTGGTGCTTCCACAGCAGGAGTTATGTGGACACATTCACAAGCACGATAGAAACAGAAAATAAGAGAAGCTGCTGCCTCCGGGGAAAAGGAACTCTGATTGCTGTCATATTCTAAACTAGACTTTTGCTTTGCTTCACCAATCAGAGAAATGTAGACTTAAAAAATAATGAAAATATTTTGTTGCAGGTAATTTTCACTCCCTACAAAAGAGAACAATTTCAGTGCCCAACAGGAAAGGACCAACAAGACAACTTCTATTTTCAAAGGGATATGAATACAATTATAAACTCAGCTATCTAGGAAAAAAATTCATTCTTCTAGGAATGATGAGAAACAAGTATTTTCTATGTATTGCTACTACTAGGTTATTTTATTTCCCAAGAAATATTTATGCTAGGTATGGTCAAAATACTTGAATATTTCCATTAGTCTGCATTAACTAAGAGATTTAGGAGAATGTTTCACTCTTCTAAAAACTAGAAGTTTGTTTTTTTATATACTTAAAATGAGTAAGACTTAATAGAAATATAGACCTTACCTGTGGTCAGTAATTTATTTTAATTGAACTCTTTATTTTGATTGAACCATCATCTCTTAACTTTTTTTTTATTTTACTTTTTTTTTTAATGTATTTAGTACAGGGTCTAGAGGGTCTCACTACACACATCAGACTTGTAATGATCCTCCTGCTTTCAGCTCCCAAGTGCTGGGGATTAAAGGTATGCACCACCATGCCCAGTCTCAGTGCCAGTCTCAGCATACCTCAGTGGGTAGGGTTGGCATGGCACACTGGGGACTGCACTCTGGTCCCTGCATCTGCCTAAGCAGGCACTTTAGTTCGCTGAGC